ATCACTGGGGAGAAGTGCGGCCTGAGGACCAAGGGGGCACAGGCCCTGCCCTCCTGCCAGGTGCATTCCTTGGGCTCTCTGGGCACGGCTGGCGTGCTGCCTGTCCTGGGCAGATGCCTGTGTGCCCGTGTGTGTGCCCGTCCTATGCACACTGTGTCTTAGCTCCACTTTAAACATTGTTCTGTATAGAAAGCAACGCACTGGGGGCGGGAGGGCAGGCAGGCTGAGGGCAGCCGCCTTGCTCCCAGCACTGGGGCCTTCAGGGAATCAAATGGAAACTTTTTTTTTTTTTTTTTGTAAAAAATGCAACAATCAATAGAGCAAACATATTGGAAGTAAACTATGAACTAGAAGAGGAAGACGAAGAGGAGGAGGAGGAGGAGAAAGGAGAGGAAGACCAATGTGGTGCTCCTGAGCGCGATCCCAAGATGGGTCCCGAGGTGTGGGCCGCAGTGTGGGCAAAGACGGAGCCAAGGGCCAGCTGGTTTCCCACGAGCTCTGGGAGGTTGGCGCAAGCCTCCTCCCTCCATCTCCACTGTCCTCTCTTCTCACCCAGAAAGACGTGCTGAGCAGACCTCCCTTTGGTTGATCTAGAACACTGAGCTTTACAGGACAAGGCGGCACTGCGTTGGTCCCATGTTTAGCGCAAGCAGGGGGTCACGGCCACTTGCCCCCCCCTTTGGATGCGGCTGTCTGGGTTGGGGCGGCCCTTGGACATGGCCTTTTCTGTGGCAGCCGGATGAACCTCAGAGCTTCACGTCGGGGCCTGATGGCTGGGTGTCCGCAGGGTGCCGTGGCTCTGGGCTCCGCCTTTGAGCCCCCGCCACCTCACGCTCAGGGCATAGTGCCCAGCCCTAGTCACTGCCTGCCTGCCCGCTCTGAAGAGCACAGACCCTCATGGACACAGACACAGGCAGAAAGGAGGTAGGGGGACTCAAGGTTGCCTTCCTCTGGCAGTTCCTGCAAAAGGGGTGTAGGAGCCCTGGCGCCAGGCACCCCCACTGCACCCGGGGATGTGGGCTTGGGCTGGAGCTCTGCGTCCACAGAGACAAAGCTGGCCCTCCACGTGGAGCAGGGGGCTGGGAAGTGTGGCCCAGGGCCACAGCGCTTGCCTAACATGCTTGAGGTCCTAGTTCAACCCCCAGAACCGCAAAAGGAAAAACAAACGGAAACAGAAAAAGGAAAGAGAAAGAAAAGTGCACAGTCCTCGGAAGCCCCGTGTCTGCGCCTGCTGCCCTGGCTCAGGGTCCTGGCCCGGCTCTCCTTGGAATTCATCAACCCCACCTCCAGATTACACTGGGGCTGATTAAATTAGCAAATGCAATCACAATCTCAGGCGAGTTAATTGAGAGAATTTATTTGGACCTGACAGTTTTATGCATGTTTGATTAAGTATTATAAGGTTTGTTTTTGATTTTGCATAATTTAACTTTAAATCCTGCACTGGGGGGCTCATCAGCCAGCAACGACCAAAATAGCCCTCCCTGAAGACGGGCCCATCTATGATGGATTTCTGAGTGCAGTGTCTCCCAGGGTTCTGGGGCCCTGTTGCCAAAATGACAAATACATTGAAAGGAGCATTTTGAGCCATCCTGGGCACCCCATAAATCTCCTGGAATGCAGGCAATTCATTAAAAGTTTTGAAAGAAGTACAAGTTAGCATTTCTTTGGCAACAAGTGACATATAAATGTGTATGTTTGTCTTCCAAACGTGCCATAAAGCATCGCCTGCACACGGGTTCCCCAGGAGCTCTGGCACTGGCCCACGCTCCAGGGCGACCATCGGCCTGGCTACAAATCTTCTCTGCCGTCAACACCACACTGTTCAATCAACACTTGAGTCTTTTTATAGAATTGGTGCAGGAGGAAATGCGGCCCAGGCTGGGTCTAGGGCCACCCGAGGCGGGTGCTGACCCCAACGGGAGCCTCTGGCACTCTTCACAGCCTAGGTCTGGGTTTCAGAAGGACATGTCCACTCAGCACCCAGGGCCCACGGGCCCACAGGACCGCGGCTGAAATTAACATAGGCGCGTGGCCCCTGCTCCCAGGCCACCACTGCTCCGTCTGTCCACCAGCCTGGGCTGTGGCCTGCCTCAGTGAGCATCTCCCTGCTCTGTGATAAGGTGTTTACTGAGGGCTTCTTTTGATCTGGGCGTGGCTAAGTGAGTCATGTCAATCTTTTGCTTTCTTTGGCTGTGCCAAGGTTTGAATCCAGGGCTGTGAGCAGGCTAAGCAGGCTAGGCTGCACCCCCAGCCCCAGAGAAGGTGAAGTCACTCACCCCAGCCTGAGTGCTGCCTCTTGTTCCTAGGGAGGTGCTGTGTAGCCACCCCCAGTGGCACCTGATGCCCATCACAAGCCACTGTCCCACACCAGAGTGGTATCTACGCCTGCATCCTGCAGGCGAGTCTGCCGAGGCCACACCACGTTGAGGCCAAAGGCTCCCAGGCGATGGGTCTCCGGGGGCAGCAGCACTCTAACCACTAACCAAGCAGGTGCCCAGGGCATGCAGGACAGAGGCACTCTGCCCTGGGGGCTTCAGCCAGAGGCACAGGGACAAGGCAAGACCAGCCTGGAAGTGACACAGGAAAGACAGGCACCTGTGGGGAGCAGCGGGGCTTACCGGTGCCTGTCTCCATCCTGAAGAGGATGCTCTGATCCAGCTTCCCCTGATCTCGTCCTGCACCCTCGTGAGATGGGGAGGAAATGGCTACATTTCCACTGCATGTGGCTCCCTGCTCTAGTCACCCAGGCAGGTCAATGCCAGCGTGGCCACCATGATGGCCTATGCCTTCTGGAGTACCAAGAGGCACTGAGCATGAGGTCACACATGCTGGGCAGTCCCACGGGTGTGGCGCACACGGGCACCCACGAGGGCCTGTCACCATAGCTCCTGGTGCTCCTGTCTCCCTCCAGGGGCTCAGAGGGAGCAATAACTGGCTCAGGGTCAATGTCACTCCAGTTGTGAGGGGCTGGGACCTGGAGCAGGGCTTCTGGGCCTCCCTGCCCAAAACACAGGCCCCGCTTCTCCAAGCCTCTCAGCTGAGGGACCATCCTCTGTCCTCGTGTGGTTGCTCCTTGGCGCCTGCATCCTAACGTCTAGCCATGCTGGACTTTGGCCCACCCTAGAGACCCCATTTTATATTAAAATGTAAATGCTTTGTCTCCAAACCCAGGCACTTGCTGAGCTCCTGGGGCCTGGAGGTTCAACACATGAACCGGGGGCACGATTTAACCCATATCCTCCAGTCCCCAATCGGGCTGAGCTGCAGCTGGGCTGCGCATCTGGCCTGGGTCTGTCCTGAGCTGTGCTCCTGTAAAGACCTAGACAGGGCTAGAGGGCCAAATTCTGGGTCAGCTCACTGCATAGTCCTGGAGGGGACTCCGCTCCTCCTCAGGCACCTCGTGCAACATGGCAGCCAGCATGGGAGCATGTGACATCTGTGACAGCACCGAGACAGTGGGAGGCAGGAACCAGCCTCAGAGGTCACTGTTCCTCTGCCACGCATCCTGGACCGCGGAGGAGAAATGGCCAGGGGGTTGAGCCTGTGCCTTTGGTCAGGAGTACAGGTGCCAGTAGCGAAAGTGGAGGGTGGTCTGAGCACCCACTCTTGGCTGTTCTTCACAACGCCACCTGCAATGTCCACAGCAACCTCTGGGGCCTGGCCTGGGACATGGGGGAGGGCATGCTTTCTGGCACTAGGGAAGGTCTCTGTAGGGATGGGAGACTCCAGGATGTCACAGTGGACATGCGGCCACGCCTGTGGGCTGGGATCCTGTCACCAAGAGGCACTGACAAGCGGCCATCAAAAGACAGTGTGCACAGGTCCACATAACACCCAAGCACTAGGGATGCCCACCGGGTGGACACTGGCACACAGAGGCCTCCCCTGGGCCCTGCCTGCTGCCAGCTCTCCCAGCCTGCGGCACCGCGCGGACTGTCCCAGCAGGTGGCACCACGCCACTGTCGGCAGGAAGTCCTGACAAAAGGTGGCACCTGCTTCTCGCGGCCCCTGCCCACCCCGATCAGAGGGGCCGAGCGCGGCTGAATCGGCCCTGCTGCCCACGAGGGGTCTCGGGCTGGCTGGATCCCAGTGGCCCTCGGGACGCCGCGACGGTGATCGCAGAGGGCGGGACGCTCGTCGCTGTTCTGGGGTGCACACAAGTGGCGTCGCCCTGAGCAGGAGGACGCAGAGCAGGGCCGCGGCCGGTGGGACCAGGGTCCAGGGGTCGGGGCGGAGGACGCGCCTGGCCGCGCTCCGGGCGCGCGCGCACGTGCCCCTCCGGACCCGCCGGGCCCTACTAGCCCTGCCCTGCGCCTGCGTAGGAAAAGCCGCGGCGCCTGCGACGTCCGTGGGCGGTGACGTCACGGGGCGCCCGAGGCGTGCGCACGCGCGTGTCCCAGCAGCAGGGTCGACTTCCAGGACGCTCCGCGAGGCCGGAGATAAGCGCCGCTGAGCTCCGCGGAGCTGCGGGGCGGAGGGGGCGTGAGCCCGCGCTACGGTGGCCGCAGAGGGACCGCGGAGGGACGACGCTACGGCTCCCACGCGGGGCCAAACGCCTCCGGCAGCGGGCCCCGGGCGCGCACTTGCCCTCCAGCCGGCCCCAGTCGGGGCGCGCGAGGGGCCGCGCCGCGGGCCTGATCCCTGAGCAGCATGCGGCCGCCCCGCTCACGGAACCCCGGCGCACAGGGGC